TTAAAAAGCTTTTAGGTGCCTTGAAAAATAAGACTTTCCTCTACTTTTAAGAATTCACTTCTTATTCAGATATGAAACCAGTTGCACAGTATGCTTCAGAGAGATTCTTCAGCTATCATATTAATGTAAAAAATAACCATGTCAACTCATACCAAGTCTAAAATGTTTTAAAGCAGTGTAAGAGGAAACTGGGTCTGGAGAATTTTAGCCGAAATTAACAGTGAAAATACAAGCTAAAACGTTGGTACAGTCACCATTTAACACCAGGGACAATAATGGTACAATAGGCCTGAAGCTTATTTTCTGACTGTGCTTCTTTCAACAATGCAGCCACCATTTGCAATCCATCATACTGTTCATAATGTGCAATACAGGTGGTGCTGACTTTTCTTGTGAGTGACCCTTTAGGAGTGGAAGGAATTAAAACTCTTGAGCTTGAAGTCTATGTTGATGGTAAGTCTGGTTTTAATGCATTAAGTGTAGCACTAAAAACCCCAACAGGAACATGGTTATGAAGTAGTAAATCACTACAGTTCAGCTTTGATCATAACAAATGGATGGGTTGACTGGCCTTATCTTGGATCTGTGTTTTTCACCTTTTTGCTGTCAGGCAGAACTGGCATACAAGCATAAAGACAGCAGAAATTTGACATCTTATGTTTTGGTTATTTGTTCAAACTCCAATACAGAGGCTGTGGAGCCACTGAGGTTGTGGCTCAGATTAACATTTATTAAAGTACATATTTACAGTCCATTTAAGTTTTGGAAGTCATTTCCCCAACTATAGAAGTATGTATTATCTTTTCTTTTTTGTTAATTATTTACTCTGTTACATTGTTACACTGATGTAACTCCCTTGCACAGATACTGAACTCTTATTGCCTTAACTTTAGCCGCTTCCAAAGCAGCAAAAGCTAAAAAGCACCATACAATAATTTAGTGTCACCTTTCTTCAGAGCAATTGACTTCTCTGGGAAGCCAAGTCCCTAAACAATCCTTGGCACAAGCTGTCTCCTACTGGTTCTTCACTTTTTACGGGTTCTACTCTTTATTGTTGCACTTTGGGATCAACAGGTGTTCTCCAGGCAAAGCAAAGATGGGAAAGTAATATAAGAAAGCACCAAAATGTACACATGCATGACGATTAACACTGGAACCTGCAACTTGTAGACCTTTATACTGCCGAGGATCCACACCTTTATTGTTTGTTTTGTTTGAAGGAAAGTAAGTCACATTTTGTAGCATTAGGCAGCAGTCAAGGGGCCTAAGGGAATGAGTCCATTATGAACGAGCTCAAAAGATCTTTCTAATGTTGTTACAGTGGGGAACAAACCCCACAAATGTGAGGTGGTCCGTATGCCTATCCAAAGATTTGTTTTGTCATTGTTTAGAACATGGAACTGTTGTTTTACTGTGCCTTCTGTGAAGCATTCCAGTATTTGAATGTTTATCCCTAGCAGCAAGTTCTGGTTTTCAAAGACCAGAATACCTGCCTCTACCCGAGAAACAGGTAGTCACACTTTACCTCTTGTCAGTATAAATGCTGACAAAAGGGAAGCTTAGGAAAAAAAAAAAGCAAATGTTGTGAGACTATGGCCATTTTTAGTGGTTAAAAAAACTGTTGTAAGCTTGCCTAAAAATGTGAAATATGCTGAAAGGAAAAGCCAAAAATCTTTCCTTTGTAGGACCCTCCCAAATGTCTGGAATTTGTTAGTCTTCCTGAGCGTGAGAAAGAGATTTTTCAGTCATACATTCATCTTTGACATGAAAACATTGAATGTCTCTTAAACTGTCTCAGATTTCTAGCTCTGAGTTTCCCCAAGTGTGCAATTCCTAATCTCTAAGGCCATCCATAAAAATGAGATAGTTTATGTTGTGATACACTGAAAAAATATATTTTCTATATCCGTGTGTTCAAAAAAGTAACCTAAGTTCAGCGGAGGACTTGGAAAACAATTCATAGTGAAGTATAGATGTATAATTGGCATTCGTGTGTAACATTTGCCTCGACACATAACATTGTGAAGACTATAAATTTGTTCATAGCCAAGGCATTTAAGTAAGTGTTACAGACATGCCGTTGCCTCAGACTGAGCTGATGAGGAAATGTAAAAAAGGTATAGATGAAGTATTAATTCAGTCTTGGTGCACAGCGGGTTTCACTATGAAAATGATATTCCATCTGAGTAAGGCAATAGAAACTGGAAAGCATTACTATAAATAAAATAAGCAGTTGCCTAATCATTATAGCACAGTGTAACTATACTTTTTAGAATCAATAATTTCTTTTCCACATTCTTGATTAATTTAGAAAAATTAGGTGGCTTCCTAATGACTCTAGCTTTTTTATTAGAAACATCTGAAGTAGAAATGGCAAAGTGATAAGGAAAAAAAGCGTGCCTTACTATAATGGAGCACATTGCTTCTGGAGCAATTCTAGAGCTGGCAGCCACTGGGGAATGCTGCTCTGTGGTGTTGCCTGACATGGTACACAGACAGGTGAATACAGGGGTGTCCAGCACTGTATAGCTGCTCCCAGGCAGGGAAAGAAATGTATACGACTGCTTTAAAACTTCTTACTGCTGACACTGTGATAGTCAAAGGCCTGTACCAACAAAGACTGAAAACAGAAGTATCAGCTCCTACTTAAGTACACTGACAAATGAAATGAAAAGGACAATTTTCAGGGTAGTTTCTTATACTGAATCATTTCCAAACTATAATTATTTGTATATCTATTTCTATCATACACAGACAGAGATAATGCCAAAGCTATGTTTACCATGTGTAAGCTATTACCTCAGCACCACAACTTTTTGAAGCTTATATGATTTTAAGTTATTGTCTATATTTAGCTAGGAACAATTTCATAAGAAAAAACATCTGCGTAAAGAGATCAGTTGGGTTAAAAACAAAGTATTTAGAAGTTAGAAGGAGACAAAAAGCACAGAAGCACATGTACTGTTGAAATGCTGGTAAGAGACAAATACCCACCAGAATATTTAAGTGTCCCAGAATTAATGGAGTCAACTTGATAAAACAGCTGTGAGATTAAAGAGAACTACTATCCCCACTTCACTAGTAGGAAATTGAGAGGGAGAGTTTGCATATAGCTAAGGCACATTTAATTTTTTCATTTAGTTTTGAGACATAACTAGATTATTTTGATTTAGGGACAATGGGCTCTCTCTCCAAACAGCTGACAAAAACCTTAACTAAGCCATTAGTATTTATGGTTGTTGCTGAAGGGGATGATCCTGCTCTCTATCCTGTCCCACGCACTCCTGGTGCTTTTCTTGTGTTGGATCTAGGAGTTGTGCCGCTGGATCTGCACGCTGAGCCAGCAGCTGCTGCTGTGCCATTGCAAGATGTGATCCAAGGGGAAGGAGGGGAATGCACAGGCAGGAATGGACAGAGCAGAGGGAGATGGACTGTTTTGTGACAACCTGCACTCATGTTAGGTGTATTAGTGTGAAATCACGCCCGGAAAACTTCGACTCCTATAAGCAGATCTTCTGTATTGTCACTAGTTGAACCCCTTACTGCAAGCCAGAGGTATTGCCTGGCAACAAAATGGAATGTTTAGAGCAGAGCACCTGCTTTGGCAGAGGTACAGGAATGCAAGCAGATTGCCACCACTTCTCTATCCAGCTCTCTGGATGGTGAGGCAGAGAGACAAGATACTTTGTGGGATCACAGAAATATGTAACAGATTATGCATCCCATACAAATGCATCCATCTCACAGATTACACATAAAAGAAAAAAAAAAAGAAAGAAAAAAAGGACTAACTGCATAAATGGAAATCCCGTCAGCATAGCATTGTGAGGCAGTCCTCCATGTCCATTCAGATCTGGTAAAATCTGAGTCAGCTGAAATACTGTGATCAGTTTTGAGCATTTAAAAATGCAACTTGTTTGGAAAGACTCCAGAGGGAAAGTGATACAAACAATCAGAGCCCCAGTAAACACAGTTTGTTACTCTAGAATAGCTATAGAAAGGCATAACAAATTTCAGATATGTAAGAAGTATCTATAAAAAGGAAGGGAATAACCTGTTCTCCAGCACAATGACACAAAGGCTGGATTTAAGTTACAGCAAAAGAGACATCAGGGTTAAACTACACGTAGTCCCTTTGTAATAGTAAGAATAGGAAAGCACTTGAACAGATCGCTTAAGGAAGATGTAGAACTTCTGTATTTGAAAGGTTTTAAGCATATATGGAACAAATATTAGCATGTGAACCCCAAATTACTTGGCTTAAAAAAACCCAAATAATTTGATGACCGCTGAGTCTGGTTTCTAGGACTTCTGTATTCTTTCTTCTACAGTTTACAATATTAATCATCAGTTCTTACGAAGTGAGAATTGTATCTGTGGCATTCTGTCTGTTCCTCAAATTCAGGCCATTGACAAACTATTATTTGTCTTCTAATTCAATTTCATCAAGTGTCAAATTTTACAGTTTCTCCAAATCACTAAAGTACTACTTCTAGGACTCGCTATCTCATGTGTAGATCAAAGTTAAGTACTCTTTGTGCCTTTCTGCCTCTGGCACTTCAGCGTGTGGAAATGTCTACTCTGAGAAAACTCTTCTGTTCTTCAGCCTAACCCTCTGAGGTGCCCCCCACAGGCACCCTGCTCCCCTCTCCCTCCCTGTCAGGGTTTCATTCTTCTTCAGGGTTCTTAAGACAAGCATATGTCTGAGCTCTTGACTACATAAGACCACTTGCTGCCTCTGCTTTTACTTCCTCTCCTTGTTATGTGAATTTTTGTACTGAAAACAATGGTACCCCTGCAATTTTGGGGAGCTCTGTCCCCGTTAAAATTTATACATCTGTTATATATCTATACATCTATTTATAAATCTATACAACTTTCTGACTTTTTCCTCATAATTTCCACACAGTGGATTGTCTTTATAAAAGTCAATCTCCAGACAGGTTCTTGCCTTTTGTGTTTAAGCGTGGTATTAGACAGACCTATATACACAAAGACCGTAAACAAAGACATACCAATTTTCCAACGGGATCTTTACGATTACATTGCTACAGCAGCAATCCTATGCCATGACCCCCACTAAGCCCTCCACATCGTGCTGCCCTCTCGGCCGCAAGCGAAAAGAGTAGACTCTAGGCTGTAGGGGGGAAAGAAAAGAACAAAAATGATGTTCCTCGGTTTCCCCTGCGAGGAAGGGAAGAAAAGTAAGTGACCCCGACGTGATTCGAACACGCAGCCTTCTGATCTGGAGTCAGACGCGCTACCGTTGCGCCACGAGGTCCTGCTGGGCAGCGGCCGTCTGAGAGTTAGAAGTGGCCCATTCCGGGCCGTCGGCCGCGCGACCCCCGGGGCTCGAGGAGCGGGGCGGGTGAGGCGAGTTCGGGCCGCCGCGGGGGTGCGGTTGCCGCACCTGATCGGCCAGGTCCTCTCCCGCTCCGGCCCTTCTCCTCCGCCACTATTTCGCTTCCCGCTTTCCCGACCAAGTGCGTTACATGTCCCCACCCACATCCCCGATACCGGCCCCCAGCAGCAAAAGCCTCCCGCCCCCGCCCCCGCCCCCTGGTGGTGCCGAGCTCGCCTCCCGCGCCGTTGCCGCCGTACGCAGGCTCGCGGGCCCCTCCTCCCGCTCCCTGGAGGTCGTTCCTGTCGTTCCTCTGCCGAAAGCCCTTCGTTCCTACCTCTCACCGCCGCGGAGTGTTTGTGTGGATTTGTATAAAGGCTCTCCCACAGAAGACCTATCCAAGGCAATTCCTCGTTAGTATAGTGGTGAGTATCCCCGCCTGTCACGCGGGAGACCGGGGTTCGATTCCCCGACGGGGAGGCCAAGAGATAATTTTTTCCCCCTCCGGCCGCGGGGGGGCGCAGAGGCGGCGCCAGCGCGCGGAGCACTTTTCGCGCGGAGTTGAACGGCCGAGCCGAGCGCGGCAACAAAAAACGCCCGCGCGAGCTAGCGCGGCCCTCCCCGTCGGGGAATCGAACCCCGGTCTCCCGCGTGACAGGCGGGGATACTCACCACTATACTAACGAGGAGCCGCGGGCCGCAGCGGCCCCCGCGCCGCCGCTCCCTGCGGGGGAGGGGCTGGCCCTGCTCTGCCCGCGTCCGGGCTCGTGTTTTCCTGAATCCTGCGGGACCTGGCGTGGGCGGGGAGAGGCGTGGTGCTCTCACCGCAACCTTTGGCTGCCCTCCCGCCCCACCGCCCGCGAACCTGCGGGGGCGGAACCCTGGAAACGGCAGTGCAAGGGAGCTGCCGGACTGGAGGCGGGGCGGGGGGATCGGAGCCGCACCAGGGGCTCGGGTGTCTTTGCGTTTCTAGTTTTGCATCTCGTTCACGCGGAGTTTCTTTTTACGGGAACCTGAGAAGCCCTGGAGTCAGCAGTCCTTGAGGTGAAAGGACCCGAGCACCTGCTTCTTACCTACCTAAAAAAGGAACGAGGGAAATGGAAACCAGCTACTTTGAGATTTGAGAGTAAAAGGCAGGACAGACTGACCATCTGTCTTGATGCTGACCCGGTCAGCAGAAACATGGTTGTAAGTTTGTATGGCAGTGACATTAGACAGGAAACTATATTTAATTTGCTGGCTTCTTAGATGAAGAATTAACACCACATAATAAACAAGTGCTTGGAACAAATGGTGTTCTCTTTTGATGGGCTCCACTACTGCTAATATTTCTTTGGATACAAGGCCCCCAGCTTAGCTTTTTCAGGTAATCATAGCTAAAGACCAAACAGCTACCGATACGTAGACTTCCAAATGTAAGTGTCCTGTAAACAAAGCATTTCTGAGAATTGGCCTTCTAATTTAAATGTTTGAATATGAACATGTGTTTCTCAGTGCATGCAACAGATTCAACTTTTGCCCTGACAAGTGAAAAATACAACAGCAGTCTCATAATAATTTCATTACTTTAGATGTAGTGTAATGAGATGTATTGGAGGGCTGTGGTCAGGTGATAGGCTTTAAACCTCCAAGAGCAGGATCAAAATCGGTGTTGCCAGGCAGGTCTACGCTTACTGTACATACTCAAATTTTATTTAAAAGATGTGAATGGTTCATTTGAAGCTGGGAGACTTTCTGGTAGATCAAACATTTTATGTTTGAATTTTATAGGACCACTCACACTTAGTTTAGATCTTTTTGCCAGTCACTTCTCAATTGCTTCTCTTCATTAATCCCTGTGGTTGGGGAGCTGAGCTGTGACCCCTTGTGTAAGTTGTGGCACTTGCTGCAGCCAGACCCCTTACTGCTGCTCTTTGCCTCAGGCTCCTGCACGGATGTCTTCTTGGGCTGTCCTCTCTTGGAACAGGACTTGCAAATTTTTGGCATCTGCTAAGCACTTCCATAATACCAGAGCCGGGCTTACAGCGAGGCATTTTATTGTCTTCTTAATTTTGTCTGTGAGGGCCAAAGCAGATCTTGGCTGGGTGTTCTGGACCTGCTGGAGACCTGGGGAAAGCCTATGGTGTGACAGGCTCTTGAAGCACCATTTTCAATAGCTCAGTAGATTGGCCTTGAGGTTATCAGTTGCTCCCTTCAATTTGATGTCATCCACCTCTGTCACCTGGTGATGCCTATTTGCCTTGACAAGTAACATATATTATTACTGACATGTTGAGGTTCAGCACAGCTGATGTCATCATGGCAATATGACCTGTGATGGAGCCTTCTGTAGCTGCAGAATTTATTCTTCTAAATCAATGTAAAAACACAAACCTTAGATGAGAAGTGAAGCCCTTCTCTAGGTGTGGTCTTTAGGATGCCCCAGTCCCAAACAGCTGCTGCAAATTGAATATACTTGATCCTGATTAATCCTCATAGCTATTTTGTATGCTCTTATTCCTGCCCATTCACACATATCCAACGCTTCATCTACTATTTGTGTTTTCTTTTTAATTTTCCTTTATTTTCCTTTTAATTTTTGTCTGTACCCGCACCCTGTAAAGTTCACAGCACAGGATTTAATGAGCTTTTCAGTAAGAATGTATGAGTTATCAAATGACATATTAAGTTACAGGACTTCTTTCTGTGTAGTTTTTGGCCTTATACCATTTCTGTCCAGTGTAATGGATTTGTCATACAGTCTGTATGACTCAGTGATCTCTTTCTGTGGTAATGTATTTTGATCAAGCTAAAATGAAGTTTTAGAAGTTATTAGAAAAATCAATTTACATCACTTAAGGGAATGAGCGATCAGACATCCTGTGTGAATTAACAGCTGAAGAGCTGAAGAAATTTAAGGTAAAGAGGACTGTGACATTGTACGTCAGTGCCTGGTGGATTAGTGGGAGGAGGAACTTAAGGGGCTTTCCCCTGTTAGGGAAAAAGGAAAGTTCTAGGGTCAAATGTGAAAAAAAATCGAATATTCTAATATACAGCTGCAATATAACATTCAGGACTGACTGTCACGTCATATCAGTTCTAGGAGTAAACAAATGTTATTCAAAAAAAAAAGGAATCATGAACCTAATAAAGCTAAATGGAGTGTAGAAGCAGCAAAAACATGGGATAGTAAAACCCACAGAAAGTAACACAGGAAAAAAACACCATTGTCTGAAGTTAGGTAACCCAAACAAAGTTGTCATGAGATAATGGCATACATAAAGAAATTAATTCTACTCTAAACAGCATGGGGAGATATTTAAAGGTATTGGTTTTACAAAACTATAAATGCAATATGCATATGCAATGAATTTAACTTAGAAAGCCAGTCATCACACTTCTGTGCATTCCAGTGCTTGCTCAGTACAGACATGGACAAGTGCAGGCCAAATAATTGCAATGGGGAAACAGAAGATCAAAATCAACGATGAGAATTGGGAGCAGGTGCTATTGAAACTAAAATCTCTATGCTTGCCTAAGGTACAAAATCAAAAATATACAAAAGACCCTGCAGAGGACGGGGGAAAAGAAGCATGCTGCCACTTCAGAATGCAATAATGCCCCAGACCTTGAATAGTGCTTGCTGTTCTCTAAGTTGGACAGGTTGCACTGCTGCAGTACTGAAAAATCAGTGGGTAAAAAAAGAGTCAGTGTACTGAGGAAAGAATGAATAGAAATCAGTTTGGGTTTTATCTAGTAGGGATACTGACCTCACCTTGAAAACACGGTCAGAATGTGTAGGAGAAGTGAAGAAGGAAATTTACGTGTTTTGCTGCTTTTGTGAAGGTTTTGAGAAATTTTAGTATGATGGAAAGATGTGCATCACTGAAAAATGTATTAATGAGTCAAAAAACTCAGTTTAGAAAACACTGTAGCTGAGAGACAAAGCAGCATTGTGAGCAGATACCGAAACATTCTAGTACATCCTCAAGGTACATTTTGCCTGTAAAAGCATTTAACATTAAGTAGAAAGCAAACCAAATGAATGTTTGGAATCTTTTAAATGACGTATGAGCTTATATGAAGAATATATGTATATGTCTATTTATATGAACTATATATATATATATATGAAGAATATATATGTCTGCTAGCAATCTTACTTTAAGAGTTCAATTAGAGAAGACCTTCAGAGCTTGAAGAATGTTTTGAAAATAAATGAAGAGATGAATATTAAAAAACCCAGAAGTGCTAAGAATAGTCTCAGCAAAAGACAAAGTTGACAACTCATTTATTTTAACTACCAAACACTGGATCAAAGCTACCAGCACTCTATAATTTGTTGTAGTGCTGGCTTCGCTGTGCATTTCTGGTCCTCCAATTGTCACCATTTGCTACTTCACTGTGTTGTGGATGTGGAACAGAAGAATAGCTCCCTTTCTAGGCAAAACTATGGCTTCGTGGGGTAATAGTTTCCTCCCTTCTCCCTTTCTTATGATGCAAGGACCATATGGCATGGAAACCACATTATTTTCCTTACTTAGGGGTATATTCCAATGATTGCAGTAATCCATGTGCATAGGGAAACCTGGAGAAACCTGAAGTGGTCCTCATAACTAGCAAAAACTCATAAGGCTTAAATCTCATTTCAATAGTTGATTTTTATCCTTGCCATGTGCTGTACTATTACTTCTATTCCTAACTTCTCCACTTGGCAGTTTTTTTGTCTTCCTTTTCACTATTCTTCCTCCCCTCACCCCACTTTTTTTTTTTTTGTTTGTTTCACTATTTTCTTTAGAAAAAATAGGATGCCCCATGACTTGGAAGTCATGGGAGTGCAAAAGAGCGATCTGAAGGCTGGAAGAAACTGCTGGTCCTGTTAAGTCATACCAGTCCTGGGACTGGCTTCTTTGGCTATTGACGCAATTTTCGGTGGGTGAACAAGTAGTAGAAGGGAAGTGGATAGATTTTTCAATAAAAATAAAATAAAACATTAAAAAGCCCTTACAGAAATTAATTGCCATTTCCAATGTTATTCATGATAGAGAAAAGCAAATGTGCACATTCACCAGAGATTTCTCAGGATGTGATGGATGGTTAACCATCTTGCTCAGTTGTGAAACTCTGACACTTAAAGATGCAGAAATTAATCAAATTGCACTTTAAATCTGAAACAAGAGATGAATATTTAAAGTCAGTTGAATAGCCAAAACAACAAATGAGGAACTGTTGGGAATTATGTGCTTAGAGCACAGCTAATTGAAGTAAGAGCTTAACACTACTATGTATCTGGAATATGTTGCTCAACAATCACCAAATTACTCTTAGTTCTAGCAAAATCAAAGAAATAGCATTAAGAGGAAAGGTATCAGATGCATTGCTAGGTGGAGTCACAAGACATTTTACAGCTTTCTCACAGCTAATAGGGATGGAAGATGGTGATCTACAACCAGCTCCCCTGGTTTGGAGATGTCAGTTTTAAGAGACGAGAAAAAGGCTGAGGAATTCTTGTGGGGCAAAATATGAAGGAAGACATTGTCAAGGTGAAAATAAACAATAAAAATAATAATAAAACAATAATTAATTTAGTGCAATGCCATGCAGAATGATGCATCTATTCCTAGGGAAAAAATACAAGCAAGGTTGTTTTTCATTTACGTTATTGTTCCTGAATATGAGTAATTTTGAATGTGAGGATTTTTGCCTCAGGAGGCACAAATGCCATGCTTCGGAACAATAGTCTTTATTTCTTTGCTGTTTGCCATTTTGCAGGATAATGATCTTTCCCTACGTGTTTGTTTTTGTTGTTTTTTTTTTTTTTTAACTTAGAATTTCAAGTTTGCAATTGCACTGGCACCCTCTGGTGGCATTCTGAAGTGCTCTATTTACAGTTCAGTAAAATTAGATTTGCATTTGCTTTGGTAGAGGAAACGTGAAGTTACTATTTTATAGAATTGTTATATTAAAATAGGAGAAACAAAGAAACAAAGAATAATATATCATAACTCCAATTCAGCTTACACAAAACGAGCTCATAAAATGAAATTCTAGCAATCTGGGTCAAAATGTCTGGAGAAAACATCTTTCATTTCCCCTCCCTCACAGTCTCTTAACTGAATCCGTGGACAGCATTTTGCTAGTATGGGTTTGGAAAGGAAAGGAGTTACAAAAATGTCCTAACTATGGGACTGGCCTGTTTCACTTGGCAGCAAATATCAATCAGTCTCTTACAGAAAGTGTTCCTAGGAGTATTTCCGTTTTGAAATTAAGACACTTGGCAGCTGTTGCTACTTGCATCCTGAGAGTTCTTGC